GATTTACGGCAAATTATTAAAGATACGCTATTTTACACTAATACCACTAGTCCGCATGCGGACAGTCCGTACCTGAGACGCTCTGATATATATATAGTTATGTAAGATTTCAGCTCTGTGAAAATCGTATTGGCCAGTTTTACATGCAAGTAAACAGGATCATATCGAATTCTCATAAGTTATGCACTATTGCACTGAAAGCGTGGTGAATCCTTGTGGTTACAGTTCCTGCAAATAACTATCAAGCAAACCCTTGAAGAATGATTGCATGGATGAAATTACAACCATAGGACAAAATTCATGAAATATATCAAGGCACCAAGCTGGCAAACCAATGAAAAGTTGTAAGTTGGTCCATCACATGTATTGTTAAATTTGTCAAAGTATGCTTGATAGCTTCATCAAAATCTAATCGAATTAATCCAAAAGATTTAGTCCGTGTGGCCCCTATTTTGTATTAAACTTAAATCATTTTGTCAATATGCAATTCATATAAAATAGGCAATCGATAACCAAATAATTTCATTCGAAATCATATTATTTTAAGTGTCAACATTATCTATATGTCTAACATAAAAAAAAATTGTTATGATCCCTAATTAAACTAAAACTAGGTTAAGCATGCAATACGGAGTATTATTTAAGTAAGTAGCTAAGGAATGACATCTTAACAGCATACATTACATTTAAAAAACGGTGGCCTTAATTAATTAATGAGTCATTCTTCAGTATGAATTGCTTTGGTACGAAATCCATGCGAAACCAGAAATTTTGGGGTTGGAGCTGTTAAATGGGCTAAAAGTTAAAACAGGTTGAAGACTGGATACCGACTGGGCCCACCCCATAAACATGCTACTACAACTGGTTGGTGTAAGGACAGTTAACTAGTCCAACCGGTTATAAGTCAAAGCAAAAAAGTCAAAACAGAATAAGTGGCTGAGAATGAATGTCGCACGTATTGTACCAAAACATTTTCGCATTGAAGAAATTGCTATACTTTAATTAATTAGTTGTCCGTTGTTATGTCTCTACATCTTAATGGCACCAACAATCAATCATTTTATTAGTGTCAAACTAAATTTCAAACATGAATAATGTGGAACAGAAACAATAGTTCTAGCTATCCTTCAATTTACGTACTCATCATGATATGCTTTCAGACATGATTATAAGGAGCTGAGCTGTTTAACGGTATGTGATAAGTAATGATAGATCAGTAACATAAACTAATACTGTAGTCATTATGACCGACCGACTTAATTAAGTTAGTCCAATTAGAACTTAATTATAATAAGAAAAAAAATGTAAAGTTGAACATCATCTTGTGATTTGTAATTATGTGCCAATGTGTGTGTCTCTGTTTATTAGTTCTCAAAAAATAACATTGTGCAACTATCGACCCACCAAGTGCCACATGTGTACATTAAAATATTGTTAAAAGGGATTTTCAAAGCCAAGGTTTTTTCTACACACTAATACACTATAGTGTTATACAGAACACATGACCATGAATCATTATGAATGGAGGTAGCAAAGCACTCTGAGATGTATGTACTTGGTAAATAAGAATTTCAACACAAAATTAAGGGAAATACTAAATATTATATGCATTTCAATTCT